GCAAAAAAGCTGAGAAATCTAGTGCAAGTTAGATTTATGCATCAAGATCAAGTTTTTGGCCATCTGGGAACACATTCATGTGAGAGCACTAAGTGTGACTGATTTCTGGCACTTTCGGCACTTCCTGAAATATATAGTTTTGGATATCAAATTGATCTGTCGACAAACTACTGGGCACTTTACCTAGTGTATACTCAGTTTGTAAATGTACTCTCTATAGAACCGTCTTTACTTACTAGCCTGAGCATTTTCATAGCTGTGGGAAGCTTGAATTTCAATCCCCCCAGCTAAGCACTTTCTGTGGAGTACTGTTTTAACAGCTATGACTTTATGTAAAAGGTGGCTCTAGCCTTGCAATCTGGAAAGCACTCCAGGCTTTCTGTAAGCACTAGAGGTGTACTAAGATCATATCAAAGAAATTGAGTTCCTCAGGGTACTTTGATGTACCAATAGTTAGCTTATGAATGTTAAAATGGAGGCAGGTATTTAGGCATCTGTCACCATCAACACAGAAGCACTCTGGACATGCAAAGAACCAGAACTTAAAGCTACAAAAGGAGGTACCCAAGAGATTCAAACACATGTTTTCATGCCCCAAGACTGTGCTCTGAGCAGCAGGTTAGTACACATAGACCAGGGGACATTAGACATCCATGACAATTTGGGCTTCTTGGATTGTTCTATTAAATCTAGTTGCCCCTAGATTGCACTGCAGGTATCTAAAGAATATTTTGGATTTTATCTTTAGCAACTGATCTACACCTTGATGTCTGAAGAACAGACAGTGCATTGGTTTTCAGTCTAATTTTTTTTTATGTCACCTAGTTTTTACTCTTAGTTTGTGGGGTTTGGGGTTTTTATGCAAAGGGAAAATTCTGTGTTTCTAGGCATCACGGTACTCCATTTTCATCTTACAAGGGAGCTGAGTGCCACATACTCAGTAATTAGAGTATGTGAGGATTTGAAATAATCAGGACATCGCAAAGTAAAGGTTAGATACTGCATACATCTCTCATTCATGCCTGTGTGTCCTCATTCACTGTGGAAGGCATTTGGTGAAAGCTGCATATTATTCTTAGAAAATTCTGTTTTCGCAGACCAAAACCAAAAGCGAATTTTAAAGGAACAAACAGGAAAAACTCGGGTGTGAAACAGAGAGGAAAAGTAGGGTGCTATTTTCAGTCTTTTCCTGGAACCACGATAAGAGAGCATTAATTGCAAAAAAAGATGGAGTTTAAACTAGAAACCTCACCAGTCCTAACAAATGTAAAGTTACTTGGCAAAGAAAGCTGTTGAGTTCTTGGAGTTTTTTGGTAAAAGAAGAATGGCAAATCAACTGCAATAAAGGTATATTTTTTGCAGTTAAATTCTGGCTTTTTGCTGGGAGCAGCTTAATGGTTTTTTTGCCTAAAAGCATCACAAGGCCAGTACCCTTGCATGTCAGCTTTGCATGACAGAGCAGAGATGTCATGTGAAAAAACAGTACCCATTGTAAAACTGATTTCCTTCTGAAATGGCCCATGTACCACCACTATAAAAACACTGCAAGACTTCTCATTTAATGAAACGACAATTTCAAAAACTTTTATACTCTCCCCATCAAAAAAGCCTTGGTGTAAAGCCTGTTGAGAATAAAATCCCCTGGAACTGACTTAAGTGGTTTGATTCTCAGTCAATGGACAAATCAGCATAGTTCGCACAACTTTCAGTCAAATCCGTGCTGGTTTCTGGTAGGTGGCAATGGTTCCTCAGTTCTGAGATTTGAACACATCTTGCTATGTGCCAATAAGCGTTTATGGCCTCAAAGGTAGTGCTCTTGCAGGATCAGGCCTTTCAGAAAACACTCTTGAGAAAGTGGCCCTGTTTGCTTCTTCAGAAGCAAAACGAAAAGTTGATTTTTTCATCTTTTACCCTTCGTTTCTTCAGTTTCCATTTCAAACCATTACACACTTTGACCAACGCTGTTTCAGGATGAATAACACCCTGAGCTTCTTCTGTTTCACCTTTAAACAAAACAGGGGGTTGTTTGGCTACATTTCATAAAATGTGTCATTTGATTCATGTTAATGCATTATCTCATACTCATCTCATTCTCACCACATCTTTGAACTTGTCTACAGTTAGACACACCGCATTCATTCTACTTCTGGAAAAAAAAAAGTTTGATGGCATTTGAGCTTCTACCTCTTCTTTCAAGCTACAGGGGAAAGAGACTTGAACTGTTGTAATCATTACGTGGAAGAGGTCTAAAATGGACATGTGCTGTGTGTGCCCTATGACAGTTCTCCTGTTTCATATTATCTCATACTCATCTCATTCTCACCACATCTTTGAACTTGTCTACAGTTAGACACGCTGCATTCATTCTACTTCTGGAAAAAAAAATAGTTTGATGGCATTTGAGCTTCTACCTCTTCTTTCAAGCTACAGGGGAAAGAGACTTGAACTGTTGTAATCATTACGTGGAAGAGGTCTAAAATGGACATGTGCTGTGTGTGCCCTATGACAGTTCTCCTGTTTCATCCTTCTTCTCTCCTCTCAGTCTAAAAAGAGATCATGACTCATTTCAGCTAACAAATTCCCTGCTGAGACACGGGCAATGCCCTTGAACTCTCCTGCCTTCTTCCTCCTCACACAGTAGGTTTTGATCTCTTACACTAAAGGCCATGCTGAATGCAGAAGAGCAGAAGGGTTTGCATCTTCTGGAATCAGTGTTTCATGGGTCTGGCCAGATGAACCTCTGATATGTGCTGCTTCTTGGTGACTGTGGGAGATGACCTGGATTGTCCTGCTCAGTTGGCTATTCCTACTCGCTATAAGCGAACATGCAAAAGAAGAAATTTAGCTCTGGCTTTTCTCTTCAAGGCTTTTAGTAGCTATAAAATCAGACTGTATGAGGTTTGCATGGATTTGTGCTTTACTCTATACTGAGTAATCCGATTTGGAAAAGTGTTAAAAGTAATATTACATTGCCTGGGCATGTTTCAAAGAATTATCAAACTGAAATTCTGATGGCAGAGACATCTGTGAATATTCACCATATACTTCACATTTGGATTCCTTGAATTCATAGTTTTCTTCTATTTTTGCTTCTTATTCAGCTAATCAAGCTCAGTATTTTCCAATGTAAGGTTTCAACTATGGAAGAGAGATTTTCCCAATTAGCTTTGATTCTGCAGAACTTTAACAGGTGCTCCTCTATTTTACTGGCTCTAATGCAAACTTCAGGCAAAAAAGGTGTAAAATACAGTGAACATTACCTAATGTTGCCCACTTATTTAGATAGAATGTAAAAAGAGAGTAAGTTTGGTTTAGAACAAGTAGCAATGATATATGCAACAGTTTCACAAGACGATTTCCAGTCTCTTAAAAACATTTCTCTAATTCACTTCTCCACTTAAATGAGAAGAAGCCTCAGTCTTTTGTGTTTGTATTTAAAATATACAGGTTGGATCTCTGGAGAAATCGATATCCTAGCTTTTGTTCACTGTACATACAATTTTTAAAGGGAAAGTACACTTTCTGATAGCTGCAGTTAAGCTGTTATAACACATCTAACATATTAAAGTTAGACTTCATCATAACTACATACATTTCACATAATGACAACGTTTGCACTCAGATCTAACTATGAAATCCTGTATTGGGTTTGCATGGCAATGTTTTGGTAGTAGGGGTGGCTACAGGGGTGGCTTTCGTAAGAAGCTGTTAGAAGCTCTGTCCCATGTCCAATAGAGCCAATGCCAGCCAGCTCCAAGACAAACCCACTGCTGGGTAATGCTGAACCCATCAGTGATGGTGGTAGTGCCTCTGTACTGTTGTATTTAAGAGGGTGAAAAAAAAAAGCTCTGTGCAACTGCAGCTAGAGAGAGGAGTGAGAATATGTGAGAGGAACAACTCTGCAGACATCAAGGTCAGTGAAGGTGCAGGAGGAGGTGCTCCAGCCACCAGAGCAGAGATTCCCCTGCAGCCCATGATGAAGACCATGGTGAGGCAGGCTGGCCCCCTGAAGGACATGAAGGTCCATGCCGGAGCAGGAGGCTGTGTGCCCATGGGAAGCCCATGCTGAAACACATTTGCTGACAGGACTGGTGATCCTGTGGGGGAGCCATGCCAGATCAGCCTGTTCCTGAAGGACTTTACCTCACGGGAAGGGACCCACGACGGAGCAGTTCATGAAGAACTGCAGCCCATAGGAAGGACTCATGTTGGAGAATTTAATGAAGAACCGTCTCCTGTGGGAGATACCCCACGCTGGAGTAGGGGAAGAGTGTAAGGAGTCCTCCCCCAGAGAAGGAAGGAGCAGCAGAGACAATGTGTGATGAACTGACACCTCTCCTGTGCTGCTGGGGAGGAAGTAGAGAAAAAGTTAGGCTCAGGAAGAAATGGTGGGGTGGGAAGAAAGAAGGTGTTTTAAGATCCAGTTTTATTTCTCATTACCCTATTCTGTTTTACCTGTGACAACAACTGGTGAGTGATCCCTTCCTGTCTTTATCTCTACTCATAAGTCTTTCACTCTGTTTCCTCTCCCCTGTCCAGCTGAGGAGGGGAGTGATAAAGCAAGTTTGGTGGCCACTGGCCATCCTGCCCAGGTCAATCCACTGCACAACTTTTGCACTCAGATCTAATTAAGAAATCCTACAAGAAATGCTTATATTGTACTTAGAAAAAAATACAAAGTGGCAAAAACATTTCAGTCCATCTCAAATTACTTTCTTAAAGGATCAAATTAAGAAGATAATTCCAAAAATGTGATTATGAATAGTTTAGCATAGGAAAATAAAATGAAAACCAGTACATTTTTTGTACGGTTTGAGAAACACTGAGTAATGAAAATAGTCCAGTATGAAAAAACGTGTCTTATGAGACAGCATTAAAAAGTACACAGAAGACACAGGCAGAAACTAGCTATTAGTGCACTGAAGTAAACAGATGCTGCACCACTGACCCCAATGGGCCTATTATCTTACCTCAAAAGGGAAAAATGTTGAAGTCCTTACCTGTACACTAGTAAGAGTGGTGTATTGATAAGCTTTGACTACCAGATAGTTGGCTTCTATATCTACTATCCCCAGGATCATGTACTTCCACCATCTCCTTTTCAAAATTGCCAGCAAGTTTTCTTCTCCTGTGGTAATAAACAAGAAGAATTATGTAAAAGAGTTAGGTTTACATGCACAAAAAGTAACTGCCTGTCAAGAGAGCTAGAAGATCTCTTGCATTTATAATAGGCAGTTGAAGAGCACCATATATAACCAGGTATTGCAAGGAGGTGAAAACTAAAACACTCTCTTTGTCTTGCAGCCAACTTAGCAAAAGAATATGTGAGGGTCAGATTGTCACTTCATTTAAAATGTAAACAGTCATAAGAAAAACAAGTGTGGCTTGGGCAGACTGTAAATGTATTCCTAGTTTTACTTTTATACACATGCATATATATATATATACACACACACACACACACATAACAGAGCAGTTTATTACATGCATTTATACTTTCCACACATATGATAAATGCTGTATCACATATGATGCAAGAGGGCTTTGTTAGAGTGAGAGACTAATCATGTTTGCAAGGAGAGTAACAACATAATCTCTGAGCAGATTACAGATCCTGTTCCAATGATGGTTATTACAATCCCAGAGGTTCAAATTATCTGATGTGTTTGGAGAAAGGCTGAACTGATTAAAAGTGCAGCAGAAAAAGAGATTTTGCATTACAAGTTGCTCTGCTCCCAGGTTCGTTGCCTTTTACACTCTTGTGTATTCTATGTACTTGCTCTGCCAATCACACAATACTTACTTTCTATCTTGTGAAGACTGACGGTACAATATGGCCTACAGATCCAACGCACAGGTTTCAAAAAGTCAAAGTATTCCTTATGCTAGGATAAGGATTATTATTGTTTGCCATTTGAAAGAAAACAGCTCATTAGGGAGTGTGGGCAAACCTGTTACTTGTTTGCATTACAGTAAGCTCCAGACATGATGGGATCCCACTGCAAAAGGGACAGGACATACTGACTGGAGTTCTTTAAGAGTTTGTAGCCTAAACAGGGATCTAAGTAGCATTGACCTGTGCTGCCAAACTACCATAAATGGAATCTGAACTGTCTTGAACGTTTAGAAAAACCACTCACTATTCTGAGATTTGCTTGTATTGCTGCAGCCTTACTAAGTGCCTGCAATCATCAAAATGAGTGGTGAAAAATACAAAAGAAAAGGATCAGTACTGTCAATTGCCACAAAAACACATTCAAGCTTTCCCATTTTCCCTCATCATTTTCATTCACGACAAGTGAGTTCGGTCTTTGGTTCAAGTAGACTAGGTGATATATGGGCTACCATACCATCAGAAGATGCAGGTTCTCTATAGCTCAGGAGCATCTCGGATTTTATAAGTTGCAATCACAGAAAACCAGATAATTACTTCAGAAGTTGATTCAGAAATCCCAGCCCCACTCAGTGACTTGAACAGCTATTTACCTGAACAAATCCCCTGAATCATTTGATGGTTCTTCATTAACAGATGCTCACACCTACTTTCAGTAGGGTATTAGGTAACAACCCAATTATTTGCTACAGTGATAATGACACTGAGTATAAAACTTCAAATGCCAAAAAGCTTTCCTCACTTTCCTCCCTCCTCTTTTTCTTTTCCTCTCAGCAAGCAGCAGAGAAATAGCATAAACAAGGGGGTGAGCAGGCTAATTATTTAAGACCCTAAATAAGAAGTACATTTAACCATACCATGCTTTCCTGTTACCACTGATTCATAGGACAACTCATTAAAAAGAAAATCCTACCCTTCAGACATGAATTACAACCACATTTATGTATTTGCATGATTTGAGCATGCAGGAAGAGGAATATTTTAGGTCTTATTTTTTAATACATTTCGGAAGGTATTTTCAAAAAAAGTGTTAGAGGTCCGAATTCCTACTAAAACTGGTGTAAAACATGCACATGTACTGAAAATATATTTTTAATTTTTATGCTGCCCAGATAAATAAATACCCTTAAAACACCAGCTGAAAACAAATGGCTAACAGGTCAAGTCAGAATTTCCAGAGATGGAAATTAAATCTTCTGCAATTTTAACTGATATACATGGTTCTCTCTTTTGGTTTCTCCATCCTTTCTTTGCTAATGACAGAAAAAAAAATATTTTGCAAGTGGTATTTAATCTTTAATATACAGCTCTGACAAGCTGCAAAAGATCAGTTTCAGCTGAGAAGGTAAGAGCAGAAGATGGCTTGGAGAAGGTGTTGGTTGCCAGTAGGACCTGTAGACAGCAATCAAGGATGGCAGCCTCAGTGAATTCAGACAAGAAGGGAAATGGGAGTGAGGGAGGTTAAATCAGAAACCTTGACATAACTTGGGACTAAAATGAGAAGCAGAGGGAATCAAGAACTTCATTCAAAAGTCTACATCCTGAATAGAAATAAACATCACTTTTGCATAAAACCAAGCAGGGGGAAACATATCACACTTAATTAAAAAAACTCCAAAAAGATACAACTTGGATTTATCTCCCTGAACTAATTGTTCAGGTCTTTAGGCTGTAAGCATTTTAGACCACAGGACCAAATGTTGATAACTACACCTGAACTAATTGGTAAGGCATTTTAAAAGATTTATTGTTTAGGATGAGATAAGCAATGTTTTGAAAATAAACATCTCTCCCAGTGAATGTAAAGGTACAGAGAGATTGTCACATTGTGTGCTTTTGTTATTATCTCAGTAGCACTGTGACTAAGCTTCCAGCCAGTGATATAAACAAATATTAAACCACAGAGTGTTCAGGTTAGCTTAAAGGCAACATTTCCAGCAAGCCAAAGCGCATATTGATGTTGGTGAACGTGCATTTATGTGAGTGCACAAAGTAATGCCATCTTAAAACATTGCTATCTTTTGATGGAGATACCTTTTCAAAAAAAACCCCACCTAATTTCTGTCAGCACTCAATCTTTTGAGAATGTAAGACTTCATATTCAGTCTAATCTAGATGTGATGTAGATTTAAAACCAAACTGCATATTAAGAATGTTTTCAGAATTAGAAGTCGAACACACTGTCAACAGAGAGAAATAATAGCATCTCTTTTTATTCCCTGTTCTAGAAGGATGGGTTTAGGTTTTATGCTTTTTGCTAATGTTTACTAATGTATTGAGTTAGTCTGGCCAGATTTGAGGGGGGGCGCTTTAGGGGTGGCTTCTGCAATAAGCTGCTAGAAGCTTCCCTAGGTCCGGTAGTGCCAATGTCAGCTGGCTCCAAAGATGGACCCGCCGATGGCCAAGGCTGAGCCTGTCAGTGGTGATGAGAACGCCTCTGTGAAAACCTGTTTAAGAAATGAGGAAAAAGAACTGCACCACAGCAACTGCCAGAGAGAGAGAGAGGGAAAGTGGAGTGAGAATACATGCAGACACCAAGGTCAGTGAAGAAGCCTAGGGTGAAAGATGTGCTCCAGGCGCCGGAGCAGAGATTCCCCTGAGTCGTGGCGAAGACTGTAGTGAGGCAGGCTGTCTCCATGCAGCCCATGGAGGTGACAAGGTGTAGACGTCCACCTGCGGCCCATGGAGGACCCAGTGCCAGAGTGGGTGGACGCCTGAAGGGGGCTGTGACCCCATGGGAAGCTCGTGCTGCAGCAGGCTCCTGCCAGGACCTGTAGCCCGCAGAGAGAGAGGAGCCCATGCTGGAGCAGGTTTGCTGACAGGACTTGCGACCCCACATGGGACTCGCATTGGAGCAGTTTCTTCCTGAAGGACTGCACCCCACGGAGAGGAGTCACTCTGGGGAAGTTTGTCAAGGACTGTCTCTGGCGAGAGGACTCATATTGGAGGAAGTGTGTGAAGAGCGGTCTCCCATGAGAGGGACCCCACGCTGGAGCAGGGGAAGAGTGTGGAGTCCTCCCCTGGAGGAAGAGGAAGCAGTAGAAGCAATATCTAATGAACTGACCGCAAATCCTATTCCCTGACCCCCTGCCCTGCTCAAGGGTTGAGGTGTTTAAACTGGGAGTGATGTTAAGCCTAGGAAGAAAGGAGGGATGGGGAGAGATGTTATTATTTTAAGATCTGCTTTTATTTCTCATTGCTCTTCTCTAAGTAAATAAATTTAATTAATTTCCCCAAATCGAGTCTGTTTTGCCCAGGACAGTAACCGCGAATGATCTCCTTATCCTTATCTCAAACTGTGGGCCCTTCATAGTATTTTCTCCCCTCCCTGCCCCCATATATTTGAGAAGGAGGAGTGATAGAGCAGCTGTGTGGGCAGCTGGCTGCCAGCCAGGGTCAAACCACTACATGTTAAAAGAGAGAAATACAGCTACCCTTCATTTTGTCCTTTCTAGAAGAATGTGTTCTGAGTTTACATTTTTTACTAACGTTACAGTGAGGCACATGCTTCACAGTTATAGATACAGAGTTGCTCCCAGTGTTTGGAAAAAAGCTATAGCTTTGCCTCTGCTGGCTCAAATTAAAAATCAACAAATAAGCTGCTTTGTAGAAGAGATGATTTTACATCTTATAATAAGGACTTACCCCTGGGGGTTTACAAAATTAAAAATAAATTAGAGAGAAAATTAAAAGAGGCTTTAGCTATGCAGTGTCTACCAAAAATAGATACATACATGTGCAAAATCCTTTTCACATCCACCCATACAGCTGCAGAAGTACAATTAAAAAACCCCACAAACAACAAACCAACAACCATTAAGACAGCAAATTCCCAATTATTTGTGTATGGGCTTAGGACACAGGTAGAATAACAGTACTGCTAGACGAGGAAATAATCATATCGCTTCCCTGTCATCTGCTGCAGTCTCTTTCAGTTCAGATGACAACTTGCTGTTTAGATAAAGATCATCAAAGGAGCTGTGCTCATCTTCTGCTTTATAGATCTCAGCAGACGAGATCTAAACGCGTGCAGGAGACTTTCAAGGGGTCAGGCAGCACAGACAGGGAGGGCTGCGAGGCACACTGGTCCTCCCCTACCTCTAACAGGAGCTCCAGAGTCAAATGCTACGCGGTCAAGATGCAAAAGTCTCAAAGAAATGAACATTATAGCAGAATTTGCTTATTATCACTTTCTTTGAAAAAGAATCTCACTCATAAAGCAAAATTACAAGATAATTGTTTCTTTTCCACTTTCACCCATCATATCGAGTCTTCCAGATACAGAACTTCACCAGTACCAATGCTGCTTCTCTAAAGGCATTTTTAAGTCAACCAGCCTTGCCACAGGATCAGGGGAAGGAGGCAGTCAGGTTACACTGTGTAGGGGTGACACAGATCTTCTCTGTATTACTACACCAAGAGGCCTCCATGCCTCAACAATAAAACGTTGCTTGGCCAAGTTGCTGGTTTGGAGGAGTTAAAGTTTGTTGTAAAAAACTTTCAGCTCTCCACAAAGCTCAAAAGAACTTCTGTGTAACTTTAAATCCTCTGACCCCGAATGTGGAGGGGTTTTATTTATTCGTATTTATTTGTATTACTGATGACTACGTTATGGTAATGCTGTTACCTAGAGGCAAAAGCACCATCACTGCTTAATTATTTATGCAATAATGTTCTCTTATAAGAATGCTCCTCCAGTCTGGTTTCATAAAACACTCAAATATACTCTGTTCTGCTTTTAGGCTGCACTGCTTTCATCCTATACCATGTTTTCAGTAAGTCTTTAGGGAGACTAGATAACCTCAGCTCCTTTTGCCTCCTCAAAAGATCTGATCTTATCCAATTTGATCTTATCCAGAGCTCCCTTCTGCTTCCTCTCCTGTGGTGGGAAAAAACCCCACAGCTGTGCTGCTGGTGTAACAGCCCCAATTCACTGCTGCAAGTGGCTCCCATGCTCTCCAGCTGCTGGCCACATGTTCTTGCCACTAGCCCTGTGCCAGCATTAATGCATGCACTGCGAGCCAAGGCAAAGAACTGCCTGGAAATAAAGATTCTGGGTTTTCAGATCAATTTTCAAACTGTGTCCTGGGCAGTCTGTGATCAAGTTAATGTGAGAACTAAGTAGCAGTGGATCCAGGCAAGGGACAAGTACCCCTTCTCTGACACAGGCCGAATCGTGTGTGTGTCCTGTCTGCCACAGGGTGACAGCAGCCATTGAACAAACCCAGCAGCCATCACCACTACCCTTGCTGTGGATACACAGCATACAATAAGGCTGCAGGTCTTCCTCCTGCATGTGTTGAAAAATCTGCAATGGGTGGTGCTTCCGAGGTAGAATGCAGTCACAGGACACAAGCAGGCACACATGCCTCGCTGGTGGTTAAGGTATTTCATGGCAATGTGTTTTCACCTTCTCAGGAAGTAAATATTATTTACCAGTCACCATCAAAAGGAGTTTTTCAGTTTTGAAGGGGTTCTCCTTACTTTGTTGTCT